GGGGCGGCGGCGGCTTGCAGCGAGGTGGAGGTAGCTGGCTGTTGGGCAGTGCGGAGGGGAGGGGTGCCTCGCAAGGCTGCGGGGACCAAGGGGGTGCTTCAGTTAGAACAGTCATCGCTTGGCAACAAAGGTGCTGATGCGTGCGGAATGCTAGGTTGTTCATCTTCTGGTGTATCGCTATTTTGTAAAGGAAAGCTAAGCACGTAGACTAATCTAGTGGCTTGTTGCCCTTCCAGACGCAGCTGGCAGTTGATTAACATTGTTTCTTCACTCTATTTGTTCTTCTCGAAGGAAATTCCAGTGATTCAGAGGAGGAAGACCGGAGTACCAGCAGCATAGAAAATCAGGCCATCCCAAACTCTCACAGGGTGCCAGATTCCAAATCGCATCCACCGCACATCAAAATAGATATCATCAGGAAAGTGCAAGCCAAAAATACACAGCGCTATAAAGTGGAATATGATTCACAGAGTACGGATACACTGAATTTCTCTTCTGAATCCAAACAAGAGACTGAATACGTAAGTACTTTTGTAAATGGAAAGGCATTTTCCGGCACGTGAGTGTGCATGTGCGTGTGTATGTATATGCATGTGGTGCATACGAACTAAATAACTAAATGGTGGTAACTGCAGCCATTTAAGGCATTCTGGCTGTTTAACTGGTAAAACTATTGGATCTGCAAATGCAGACAATCAGCAGAGCGAGCAGATCACATTCAGAAAACACGGAGGCTTAACGCAATGATGTTTACGTTGATACGAGTATGATTTTCACTAAATCATTTCTTATGGATCAAAAGTTCTTGTTCCTCCCTGTAATTATCACACATTTGTGTGAGCGGACTTGGGACAGGTTTAATAGTGTCATCATTAAATCTGGTTGCAAGCAGCATTATTGGGTTGCAATAATGGAAAAAAGATGTTTCACATTTAGTGTAGTGGCACTGTGTTCACACTTCACGGTGCAAATCAAGAGAGATAAACTTAGGCTGGGTTGAGGATTAGGAAACAATCAGTCATTCATTGTATGATGCGCTGAACACTGCCTCCGCTTGCCTTCATTGTTTGGTGCTACTACCTAAATGCAGAGGCTCACGGGCACGAGCTGCTGTTGCTTCCTACGGACTCTGCTCAGTGGATTTGCAGGGCAGCTGGAGTGTGGTGTATCTAAGGGAGAACAATTCCTCTTCTTGGACATCCTGGCTGATAACATGGTGGTTATCCTTGTGCCTGTGCCAGATGGCCTAAAAAATAAGTCTGGATGTACTTTGGTGTTTCATCAAAACAGTCGTCCTGAAACCAGACATGGCTTCCCATCTGCAAAAGAAGGTTTTGAAACCTGTATGAGGTGGAAAGTTGTGTCTGAAGAGAGCATGGCCTCCCAGTTAACACAGCAAGGGTGGTGAAGCTGCATGTTTAGTTTGTCACTGATGTCCAGCTGTCTAGTAAAAACACTTCAGTATCTGCCTTCCAGCATGTCCTCCTCCCAAAAATGTGAAGTAAACTGCTTACAGTAAAAGAATGAACTTTGGTGGCTCTGAGGAAATAGGGTCCTGGTCTTAACTAGGATGAACATTTCACTTACGTGGTAGTTGGGCCTTGTGAGCCCACCGATTTACCAAGGCTGCTGGTGTCTGTAGGAACCAGAAATAAGTCCACCGGGGACAGGTGCCTTTGTCAGCAAATGCCCTGCTAGTTCTGTCTGCATATTAGCTTTTGATATTGATCTCTCTGACTTTGGAAGCCTACTTCAAAATAATAATTAAAAAAAAAGCTGTTCATCTTTTTGTAGGCCTAACTTGGGACCAAATCTTTGAACTTGTGTGATTTGCAGTCAGGGTGTCTGAGCAGTTTCGGTTTTTTAAGGAACTGCCAGTAAGAGCAGCAATTTAAAGTGCACGTTTAGAGCTTGTGAGGCTGATACTGAAAGAAAACATATGAAAGCAGCAAGGAAGGTCTTTCCTAATCAAAAAAATCAATTTTAAACTCCATTAGAACTGTGGAGTCTGTATGCTTTCAGACACTCACATGAAAGGCACTTTACGTGAACAAACTATTAATATTACCACTTGAAAGTATAAATGTCATTGCTTCACTAATTAAAAATTGCACCAAATGAGTCTTTGTGTTGATACAGCAACTTAAACTTTTTAAACCCATGCAACCATGGAAAGGAATTTTTTCGGGTCTCTGCTGAAGAAGTGGGCTGGTGGACTGAGTCAGTAATGTGCCCAGACAGGAGTGTAGCCAAGCACAGAGTTTGTAGGCTGTGACTCTTGAATCCCGATCCCACTGCTGACACTGACTGACTGCCTTCTTGGCCTCTGGCAAAACGTGAACTCCTCCGCTCCTGGTTTTCTGACTGCGAAGTGGGGCTCGTAATGCTTTACTCCCTACCCTGAAGGGCTGCAGGGAGAAATAATTAGTTGGCGTTTGAGACATGCTCTTAAAGGTGCACCTGGAAGTTCTTTTTGGCTCATTGTCCTAGAGCTAATCCTTACTACATTGTTGTCAGCCTTTTGCAGATGGAGAAAGCGAGGCAAAAAGTGACATACTTAGCAAATGAGAATGTTGTGTGCAACAATTCCTTTACGTGGCTGCATCCATTCGGTCCAGTTGAAATTGGAAATTGTTGTCCAAAGTTGCAGTATTTTTATATATACATGTATATACATATATATTATGCCAAACTACTTGTTTTCAATTAAATCCATTTCATTTAAGCTTTCAAATCCAGCAGAATCACACAAATCAAATGGCCTTAGGGAAAATCCACCAAGCGGTGTATTTCCAGTTGTCTACTTTCTTCTTTTCTCACTTGGTGCAAAGTCAGCTTTTCCAAACCTAAGTTATGCGATATATGATTGATTTACATACTGGTTAAGCCTTCCTGTATGTGTATGTGGCTGTGATTTCAACTGGAAATGCCAGTCTGTGCCTCAGCATAGCATAGGGCCTTCAGTGCTTAGAAACCAGTTTATCGTGAATGAAGCAGAACGTCAGAATTTTATCTGTGAATGGTCTGCCTTTTGACATATCCAGCCATCCCTTTGTTTTAATGGATTTTTTTGGGGTTTGTGCTTCTTGCCCTTTAAAGATTTATTAACTCTTGTGTGAAAGACAGCATTTGGGAATGAAGTTTCATTTGTGTTTTCTTAAACATGCTCGTTAACAGGGTCCCTGTCGTAGAGAAATGGAAGACACTTTAAACCACCTAAAGATCCTGAATGTCTTGAGTCCCAGGGGTTTTCATATTCCAAATTGTGACAAGAAGGGGTTCTACAAGAAGAAGCAAGTAAGTACAGAGTCTTGATCATTTCAATGAATGCACTTCACCTTTTCTGCATCTTTGCTGAAGAACCTTGCCAGCAAGGTGCATTATGTATCATTTTTCACAGGAAATAGTTCATTTCTAGTTTTAGGACCTGATCTGATAGTGCTGAACCTTGTCAAGTGGGGACAGTGTTTTTATTTTCTGTTGGTCATGACAACAGATTAATTTGAGAAACTTCATACCTAATCACACATGGGTTGGCTGATGTCCTAGATACTTATGCCCTTTGGTTTAAAAAAAGCAGTGCCTCTGTAATAACCCACAGAGCTAAATATTGCAGTCACCATATGACTGCAATAGATCAATGCTCTGAATTGTAAATAGCTGCTTGAGAGTTCCTAGAAGAACTGCACTAGATCATATTACAAAAAGCAACTTGAGAAAGGCATATATCTGTCCTTTATGTGCTACACAGATAGCTTCCAAAATCCAGGTCATGTTATCATGAAAGTGATACATCTAGTAGTTACTCTGCAGCAAGGATGGCTTCTCAGCCCTCTTTGGTTCTGGGGTTGTAACCTTTCTTGACAAATGCAGACCTAAACTTCAGGTATTTATGCTTTAATTGTGTCAGGTTGAGCCTCCATTCACTCCATTCAGTGCTGCCCTTGAAGCTCATCCAGGAACTTGGGGAAGTGCAAGATCTGCCAAGTTCCTTGCTTAGTGTGCACATCCCATCTAATTCCAGTATTTAGTTAGTGACCTGCCTCCAATGTGTTTCTTGGTATAATTCTAAAATCTCCTGAATTCAGAAGTTTCTTCAAGGTTTTCCTCAAGGCAAATGCTCTGTAAGAACAGATTTTGTTTGCGGACCATGTTGTCTCTCCCATTTGGGTTTACACGAGTCAGCCTCTCTATCTCTGGTAACCAAACGAGCGTCTGACTCTGTGTTACTAGCCTAATTCCATTCTTTGGTTGGAAGTGAGAGGCCAAACTCTGACCAGGCAACCTTATTTTAGGAATGGTATCTCAATTTTTTTTGTTTCCAGCTTTCTTAGAAAAAGTCTTTCATTTTTGGGTGTTCCCTGGAGCTCTGCTTTAAGCTGGCAGTGTCAGGTGGGGTGTTTGCAATAGGGGTGAGGTTTCCAGCCTTCCCTTCTGCCATCAGCCGAGCATTGACTATGCTGTTTGACTTTGGTGCATGCTGCTGAGCTTGTCTATGCTCCCCAGCTTTTCCTGAGCAGGTGGTGGCAACTCCTACACAGGGATAGAGTTTGTTGTCTGGAGTTTTGAGAAGCCTGTGTCATTCATGTCCCACTGTGTGTAAACTAGCAGAGAGCAATGCTCACATTTTGGTCTGCGTTTGTTCAGAAAATAGGTCGGACTGCTATGCGGAGTGAGGCTAGGACTATGTTCTGTGCCTGTGCCGTAAAGCATTTGCTTAGCTACTCTAGAACAGCACATCATTTAACTGCGTTCAAGGCACACAAGTGTAGTGGTAGCCCTTTTCCTTCTCTAGGTGTTACAGAAGACCACAGATTGGTATTTACTTTGTTCAGTAGATCTTCCTTTCATCTGTCTTCAGACTGAGGTTTTTGCTTTGTCAGCAAAAAGGTGGTGGTTTGTACGCAGTCTCTGGTGTGTGTATGTAGTAAATCAGATCCACAGTAAGCAAGTATTAAAGTGCCTTACTTTAAAGGATGACTGTACTTTAAAGTGCAGTCATAGTTCTGCCACTGAGGCAGAAAAAAAGGAAATACGGAGGAAAAAAAAAAAAGGAAAGACAGGTAATACACTTACCTAGTCTTTGTTCCTAGGAGTTGATTTACGAGAATAAGGTGTTAGTACAGAGCAAAGACACGCTTCTACCCTCTGTGTAGTGTCCGTGCTGCCTGGAGACTTTCAAACTGCTTTAGGAAAGGTTCCTGCGCTATGTGCAACAGCCCGTCCAGTCAGCAAACATAGAGGATGAAGGGGCACTTTCATACTTGGCCAGCCTTGTCAAGCACTGTGCCAATTTACACAGGTCCGGTAGTTTCAATGGTAGTTTGAGACAACTCAGGATCTTGTAGGAGATGCCACAAATGGAGCCCATGTGAGTAAATATTCTACGTGAAATGCAGTTGGAGTGCTTCTCCTGTAAATGAACCTCAGTCAACCCTGGGAACAGGCCTTCACAGGGAGGGCTTACAGAGGCAGGCTGTTTCTCACACGAACAAAATACAAACCAAAAATAATGTACTTGAGTTGCCCTTGTAGAACTAACTCCTAGAAAAAAGCATCAGTTTGAGAAGTGAATGAGTCCTGTCCAGACTGAATTCTCTGTCCGCAAGGCAATGTGACAATTGTGTTTTCTTTTTGGAGCATCAACATGTAAGTCTGATATTTTAGGCATTGTGAGCAGGTGTCTAATCTCATTAAAAGAATGCTAGACTGTTTTATTAATTTCCTTCTTTGCTATTATTAGAAGCATTCAATCGGTAATTCAGTTATATTCTGTTGTGACTACAAAATTCAGAATAATGGGTTAGGAAACAGACAGTAAATCCGTCAAACAAATGAGTGTGAGCTAGGCATTTTTAATTCCGGAAACAGCTGCCAAAACCACTGCCTAGGATGTGAATGTAGGTAGGCGTGTGATGGTAGGAATCTGATAAATTATGATCATCCAGAAACCATTAAAACTCATTCAGGAGGCACTGAATACATACATGTTAGTATATTCTGCATTCCTGGTCACCTGCTCTTCCAGTCAAGTTGAAAGTAGTTATTTTTCAAGACATGTGTGGATATCTAGAAATTGACTTTTTCAGGAAGAACCGTAGGGAGTAATTTGCATATGTGAAACAATTTTAAGAACATAAATTTATCCGTCAGAGTATAACATGAAAAATATTTCACACCTTGTGTTTATATATAAACTTTTTTAAAATCAGACCCATTAAAATTTAGAATTCTTTGTCTTAATCACACATGTAAGGTTGTACTATTCAACTGTGGTATATAGGTATATTTATGTGGAATAGGTTGATACAGGCACATTTCTGCCTCAAGCATGGAAGAAAAGGTTTTGATGAAATTAGAATTATTATATGGGGCAATTACTGGAATTGCCCCATATTTGTATACTGGAGCCAGATACTTACCTAAATGTGAGCTGGCATCATTTCACTGAAAACAGAGCTGGGCTTGGCAGGAGCCAAAATGGCCCGAGGTATATGTCAATGCTGTCTGCCGTCTGTTCCAGGAGAGCACAGTTGTAGGTCCACGGAGACCCCTGGGCTGACCAGGAATTCAGTGGGATACCATATGCTTTGCTGTGCCCCACGAATGCCTCTGCGGCACTTCTTTGTGGAAGGGAGAGGGGCAGGTGGCATGGAAGCTGGCAGCTGGTGTTTCTATCAGAAGTAATTACTGGCTCCACCGCTTGGGCAGTTTTCCAGCTTTTTGGACTTCTGAAGTCATACAGAAGAGCTGGGCAGAACCTTGAAATGTATGTGGAGTACAAAATTCAGAAGAGCAAATATCTATAGATATTTTTTTTTTCCCCCTATGAACTGTCCACCACTTCTCTAGGGAATGCAAATGCAAGTTAGCTGGTTCAGGATAAAAGCATCACTTTTGAATCAGAAGTGCTTTACTGCTGACAGCATGGCTGAGCGGGTAGTACAAAATCGCAGATTGGAAAAGGTAAATTGTTTCCTCACAGAGCGTTATTTCAGCTGTAGAATGATCTAAGGGTTTCATTTTCCAAATGGGTTGTCTAGAAGAAATAAAAACATACTAGTAGTAGGGAGGGAGTTCCTGCAGACTAACTTCATGTTGTAGTTAATTCCAAAAATTGATTATGCAACTGTAAAAAGCAATGAAAACCTCCCAACAACATGAGATAACTTTAATTGATCATTTGTTTTGGGAGTGATGCAAGCCTATGAATCAGCGAGAGTTGTGTAACATACTTCATATAGTACTTCTAAAAGGGGAGGCTGTGTTACTATTATTAGCAGAAGTGTAGTTTCATTGCTGGAGCACCAGGCTGGCAGCCAGAAGCCCTGTGCTCTAATTCAGGCTCCATCTGTGCCTGCTCTCTTGGGAAAAACAACTCAAGAACTGCTGCCTCAGTTTCCTTTTCTGTAAAATTCAAATTGTACAAGGTCTGTTTTTTATGAATTCCTCAATTTTGAGCATGAAGAATTTAGGTCACTAAATGTTAATACCACTTAAGCTAGAGTCCGGTCCAGTTGCCACCAAAATTGAAGGAAAATTTCCCATTGACGTCAGTGGACTTTGAGCAGCCATTCACGGAAATTCTGGAGAATACATGCAAGCCCTAGTCAGGCTTTTGAGACAATAAACGTTAGTTGTAAAGCTTGCGTTTAAAGATTCAGTACAGAAAACCAGTCAAACAGGTAACTAGAACTCAAATGTAGCTAACCACGTAGTTTAGCAAATTATTAATGTAGCTGTTCTCTCAGTAGGTTTGAACTTTTTCACTCTCACCTAAAATAAGCTGATATGTACTTCAAACTTGATCTTGTCATCCTGCTGCCGTCTGTTTGCATAGGGCTAATGCAGAAGGACTGCAAATTCAGAGAAGAGAAGGCACTGTATTATTTCTGCATTGGGCTTTTTGGTCAAAAATATATCACAAGGGTAGATGAATTTGTAGTTACGGTGATTAACATTACTTCATTTACTCTAAAATCAAATAAACAAGATGGAAACTTGTTCAGAAATTTGTGTCTAATGTGTGATCTGTTCCCGTCTCTCTTTCACATGTTCCTAGTTCATTAGTTGGCTCAGGGTCCATTGTGCTAGTGCAAGCTGTCCCAGGTGTGATCCATTTTCACAGTTCTGTCCGAAATACCACCCTTGTGCCTGAGGTTCTAAACTAGATGTGGAAAGGGTCGGGCACTTTGGGCAGCATGTGAAGCCCAACACTTGCTTGATGTTTTCTTGCGTACCTGCACATGGAAAAGACGCTTAGCTTTGTGAGCCGCTGCCATACTCACGTGGGAGATGGGGACATGCCTATTAGACTCTGGAGAACAAGCAGTTGAGTGGTAGTGGGAAAGTTTGCCTGACTTGTACCAGCCTGAACTTCTGAAATACTTGAATTGCTGTGAGTGTGATCTCAGATGCAGCATTTGCTCTGCTTGCAATAGCCTTTACAGTGTTGAGGACCTTAAGTGGCTTCAGTCTAGCCTACCTTCCTTCATGTTGGCAATGCAACAGATGAAACCTCAGTCTTTGAAAACCTAGGTATGTTTGTGTCACTGCCTCCTTTGTAAGCCTGTCCTGACTAAACAGCCACCTCTGTTAGCATTTGCAGCGAATCCTGTATCACCAAATCTCAAAAATTTTGCTGACATGGAGGCTATGTCTTGGCAGGGAGGTTGACCATGGCAAACCTAGTGAGATAATCTGTGTCCTGGAGAAACGTCTTTTGAGTGGGTGAAAACCTTTCAGGGTCCCAGAGGTTCGCAGTATGTAACTGTGTCCAGGATTGCATACTGAATGCAACCTGCAGCATGTCATCTTCTTTAGTCTAGTTTTTACCATTCTTGGTTCCTTGGGGAGAGCATTAGTGCATACTAGACTTTATAATGCATTTTTACTGCATCACCATTTCTAAAGAAGTTCAGTGTCACTGCCTGTCTAGTGGTAGTTTCAGGTTGGTCAGCATTGCTTGGCAAATTTGACCAGGCAACTTCTAAAGCTGATATAGGTTATAGACTAGTATATAAGCAGCCTTACTTATAGGAAAATATACATGTAAAGTTCTAGTACACGTAGCAGTTGTTGAAGTGATAACTCCATTACAAAAGGATTATGTATCTGTTAATAAATGTTAACTACAGTATTGAAATTCCTCCAGCAAACACATGCAAGCCAAGGGTGTTTATTGCTGCAATGGCTGTCTTTGCCAGACCTGTGCTTTAGTGAAGAACAAATATCTTAACTTTCTTTTCCAAAGACGGGTCCCAGTCTTCAGCCCGTACTGTTACAAGTAGTCCTGGTATTCAAAGGGGGCAACTGTGCTGCCTAATATAACAACGAGTACTTCATAAGGCTGTTTTCTCGTAGTTCTCAGAGCAGTTTTATTATGGAGTAATTAGACCCAAAGGGGTTGACGGGCAGAGCAGGTAAGCTTTTATTGTAATAGTTTGTAGTGGTAATATTCTGTTTGATTCTGGCAGGTATGGCCAGGATATGGAAGTGCAGCTATCAAATGAGCAGGAATCCCTGCTATATAATGCTAAAAGCAGAGAAAACAAAAATAATGCTAACTGGGTCCTTCATTCTCTTTCAGTGTCGCCCATCCAAAGGCCGAAAGAGAGGTTACTGCTGGTGTGTGGATAAATATGGACAGCCGCTTCCTGGGTATGATGGGAAGGGAAAAGGAGATGTCCACTGCTATAACTTGGAAAGCAAATGAGGGCTGGGTGCCAGCTCTTCTGGCATCTGTGCGTGGCCGCTGGACCTCGCAGAGGCCTTGGAGGGGCTGGACAAAGACTGTGGACTGCATTGCGCATTGAACAACGAGCTCTGCCTCCTGCAGCAGGTGGAGTCACAGCCTCCGCGGACGCTGCTGCAGCTGCCCCCTGCCACTGACACGCATCGGGCTTCCTATAGGAGGTGTAGGGAGCTCTGAATTCCCACGTAAACCTGCACTATTGATACCCAGAGAGAGAGGAAAAACAAAAGGCACTTCAGAATGGATTCAGGGAATCTCCACTGACTTTTTAAAGAACGGCCTGTGACCAATTTGATCCCGAAAGATACTGGTTTTTTTATTTTAAAGAATTTATAGATTGTAAGCTTGTAAAAGGATTAAAGAAAACAAAACAAAAAACCCACGAGGATTTAAAGGTTAAGCTTTTTTTACAGGTCTGACGGGAAACTTCACGGGTAAAAAGTTTTATAAAAATCTCAAAGAACTTTTTAAAGAAACATATTTCTAAAATAAAGACATGGCTATTTTTTCTGTAAAATATATTATGAATATTCTGTTAGCCTGTATTTAATATAATTGTTTTTTAATAAACTTTATTTAAATGTAACATGTGAATACCAAATACTACACAATAATTCTAGTGTATACTTCTGTATGCAAACAGAAAGTAAGGGTATGGAATGATTTACAAATATGTATGGATCCATATGCATACACACTGACCTATTCTAGATAATAGAATGAATTTGTGGAGCGAAGGAAGTGTTTCCAGAAGAGATTAAGTTTGTTATTTGACGTAACTACGAATACCAAGATAATCTTTTTTTAATTTTTTTTTTTTATTTATTTTTTTTGTTTTTTCTAATGTACCCATCACTGAATTATGCCACTGGAAAGAATAAGAGTTGCACTGAAGCTCTTGGTAAAGCATTCTTCTGTCTGTCCTTTGCTTCAGTTTGTGCAACAGGGCTTACATTTCCTCCGTTTCCTGCTCACACTAACACAGAATATTCATGGACAAAAAATTGTCACTACAGTACCAGTCTTTCTATTTGCTTATTTATTTCGAAAAGCTGTATCTATTCTGTGTTGTCTTGGTACACTCTACCAAAGCACATATTCTTTATGAAGAAATTGTCTTTAAAACAACGCTGACAAGATGGGGGGATCATGGACCCAGGTGTTGAGACCCCTGCGCTTCATTTATGCTACACACGATTGTTGCTTGCTTTGACTTTGGTAGAAATGATTTGCCTGTATCTAAGCATAGAATAAGAACCATTGGGTTTAAATATTTAAACCAACTGTCTGCCATGACGTTATATGTCCTTTTAATCAGAAGAGAAGTGATTTGGTTTTGTTCTGGTATGTGATGCTTTCACATAAGGAAGACTTTGGCAACTTTTTTTTTTGCGGCTGATTGTTTACTGAACTTCATGACAAATTCTGTATGACAGTGAAACCTGGATAAGGAAAGGTGGCCTGTGAAATGTAACATCTCTCTGGAAAGTAATGCCATATTTTGTATATGTATTT